TTTAATGTATTTAAGTTTGGTGGGCGGGTCGTTTGAGAAACCCTTATCTTTTATGATATGGTGAAGCGCAACTGGATACCACCGATGTTTAGAGATCCATGAGGGGACGTCCGGGTCGGACGTAGGGAAGGAGAGAGAGAGAGAGAGAGGCAGAGGAAAACAGGGCAATGATCACTAGGAGCACGTACGTCACAGACATCCCATATTGTACCTGTTTGTGGATGGTAGCCGCACATGTCGGCTGTGTAGAAATTAGTAAAGATTCGGCATGTACGGGTAAGCGCATTGCCAGTACGTGTGCCGTTCGACTCGATGGTGATCCTGTGGAAGGGGAAGGTCTGTTCGACCTCGAGCATGTCAGGGAACTGCACTTCGAAAAATCTCGCAAAGCCGTCGACGGCCACCGGGCGGATCTCACCGCTCACGCACTGGATGCCCTCGCCTGGGGCCGTGAAGTTAAAATCGCCCAGCAAGAGCGACTGGGCTGCGGCAGGAGAGGGCGTCGCCTGACGGATCCTAGATAGGAGTTGTCTCTTCTCGGCCCTGCTCAACTTAGGCTCGATAAGAATGTTGATGAAACAAACCTCTCCGAATTCAGCCCGAGCGCGAATCCCATGACACCGACCAGAAGAAATCACAAAATGGCGAATTTCCGAAAGCTTTGCCAGGATGGCAGGATGTATAACCAGGAACATCCCCGCTTCGATGTGCGCGCGAGGATCAAATGAGCCGTTGATTCCGTGATGAGGCAACTCATTCTGAATGACGACCAGGTCCCCCTCGTGCCCGTGGGTCTCATGGGCGCCCACGATCCCAGGATGAGCACAACGCGAATGGAAACGAGAGCGCTTGGCGACAATAGTTTCGTGATGACCATGGACAGACCCGAATAAGCCCTGCGAGTTCCAAGTAAGTACCTTGAGGCCTGAGGAGCTGTAGAGCCCAGAGAGGGGGGAGGGACTGGTGGGGGATCCATTCTCTACGCTCTCGCGTTGAGAGGAGCAATCAGAGGACGGGACGAGGACGACAACGAAGACGAAGACGAGGAGGACGAAGATGCGGAGGACACCGACGAAAAAAAGGAACCACTGTGCTGCTGAAGAATGTGCTGCGACAGACCGCCACCTGGAGGAGCCTGCAGCGGCTCGATCCCCACACCACGGAGGCTGTCGAAAATATCAATGAAACCGGACGCTGGCAAGGGAGCTTCCTAGATGTACCCGTCGCTCGAAGTGTCGATGGCGACCTGGATGAGTTTGTTGGCGTCATCGATAGAGATGCCCCACCCTTGGATGTTATCGACATTGGGCTGGATGCTGATATGGTTCTCGCTCTCCTCAGGCGTGTGGAAGAGAACCCAGTGGTCGTCCTTATTGTTGTCGGTGATGCTGAACTCGCCTCTGGCTCCGGTGACACCGAGCTTGAGGTTGGCGTTCCACTTGCCTTCGAGCTGGAACTTGGCGAGGACGTGTGGCCACAAACGAGACAGTAACCGCTGTCTCAACCTGGCTGGCAGAGGCATGTCGGGGCGGACTCGAAGTGGGATCGATTTGCGTGAGCGAGGGTCGAACCATGGCGGCATGTACAGGTTGGCCCAGGCGCGAAATTCTTTGGCATGGCGGTCGCTCTCACAACGGATACTGTACGACATAAAGACTTTGTGGAACTTTGCGGTGCTCTCCAGCGCGTGGACGTCGGGGTCCGTCTCGGCGATCTTCTGCTTCACGGCGTCGGAGGCGGAGGCGGAGGAGGAGGAGGAGGAGGAGGAGGAGGAGGAGGGGGAGGAGGAGGAAGGAGAGGAGGAGAGGGGGAGGAGGAGGAGGCGGGGGAGAGAGGAGGGAGGAGGAGGAGGAGAGGAGGAGGAGGAGGAGGAGGAGAGGAGGACCTCAGGCATGCAGCTGCGCTCCACGAGCCGGCGGCGAGCAAGTGGGGGGCCGAAGGGGGCATATGGGGCCGGCGCCTGCCTCTGGAGGACAGGGCCCGCGCCTTCCACGAAGCACGGGTGCTCTTAGGGAGCCTGCCCCCCTTCCCCAAAACCGTCGGGGGGCGTTGACCCGAGGAACCCTAATTAGGAGGCAACTACTGGGAGGTTTTCGTCGGAGAAATTAAAGAGGATTAAGTCCCATTTGGGGACTGTTACGCCGGAATGGGCCTCAGACTAAGCAGGATTAAGCCGGATTAAGCGGGATTGAGCGGGATTAAGCCGGATTAAGCGGGATTAAGCCGGATTAAGCCGGTTTTCGGACCAGGGCAAAGTCAGAATTTAACCTCCCAGGAGTTGCATCCGAACCCTAAACAAGGAGCGAGGTCCCTTTGCTCGAGAAAATGGCACTTCGACTTCCCCTCGAGCATCCAGGGAGAACCTCGCGCAGAATGTGAAACGAGGAAGGAACACGGAAGGGGCTCCTGATTCAGCGCCCTGACTGTACCACCCCCCCCTGCGCGGCGGGTCAGCGGGAAACCAGAAACTGCAATGCAGGAACAAGAAACTGCAGCGCAGGTCTCCGCAAACCCAGTGTCAGCCAATACGCGCGGCCGCCCCGCGGCCACGAGCGGCTCCCTCACCCGGGTCAGCCAGAGGGGGTCTTCGCAGGATCCTGCAGGATGTGGCGCCCTGGCTGACCCCCGTTTGCACTGACCCCCGCCTCTTAGGCTCCGACCCCCGCCCCCGCCCCCAGGTCCGGGTCATGCGCGAGGAGGTCGTGCGTGCCCTTCCCGCCCAGGGCCTGGCGCAGCGAGTCGGCGCCGCGGAGGGCGGCCTGACCGGGGGCCTACTTTTGGGTCGGGCATGTCCTCCTACAGGCGGATCTGGGAGGAAAAATAAGCAATACTAGAAACATGGTCGAAGATAGTAACAAATAATCCAGAAATCGTCCGCATATTATTGTTTGATCATTTCGGAATATTCCTCCTGTAGAGGGACGTGCCCGACTTAAACCCAATCACTCGCCGCTCCATGCTGCTGCTGCTGCTGCTGCTGCTGCTTCTGCCGTGAGGAGAACAGCTTGGGGGGGAAAGCATCGAGCTGGAATCGGCATTTCATCGCCGATAAATCGGCGAAAGGCCCCATATAGCGAATCCGCACGATCCTGAGCGGGAAAGGGCCATCGGGCCCCGATCGGCAATCAAGGGGCGATTGGGGGTCGATGAATCCCCCTCTGACCCCATATCCCCCTAACGCTGCCCCTGATACGAAGGACTCGCCTGGCCAGTGCCTGGGTCAAGTGTCGAAGCGGTGGGAGCCAGAATCGCAGAGGTGGCAGCACGAGCCGGATGGAAGTCGGAGCCGAACAGGTGCCGCCGTAGCTGGGGAGGACGGGCGCGCGTCTCCCAGCCGGGGAGGGGGGGGAGGGTCGGGAGCGGCCAAGAGGGGGGTGTCCAAGAGGGGGGGGTGCAAATCATGACCGGCGCCATGTGCGCGGCCCAGCGGGGGGACCAGGGACGTAATGGAATAAGAAGAGGCGCCATGAAATCTGGGGAAGTATCATGGCCCGCGCCATGATATCCACCCACCCTTAGTCATCACCCCCCTCTTTTCCGCCCCCGAGAAACGGGGGAGGAACAAAGGCTCGAGGGCTGGACGTCGAACACCGAGACTGCTCGGCGTTCCCCGTCTTTGCTGCGCCTCCCGGAGGCGTCTCGTCGCCGCGGCTGGAGGCGCGGCCAAATGACTGTCCAGACCCAAGCCGGGAGAGGGTAGATGGGTCTACCTCCCCCTCCTCCTCCTCCTCCTCCTCCTTCTCCTCCTCCTCCTCCTCCTCCTCCTCCTCCTCCCCTTCCTCTCCTTCCTCTCCTCCTCCTCCTCCTTCTCCTCCTCCTCCTCCTCCTCCTCCTCCTCCTGTCCAGACCCAAGCCGGGGGAGGGTCTTTTACCCACTGGGGAGGTAGACCCATCTACCCTCTCGCGTCGTGGTAACATGCAGGGGCCCTGGGAGACGCAAACAACTGGACACGAATCCCAGGATTCCCCTGTTTTGTTTGTCCTGGATTGTTGTATTCCCCTCACTTTCCATGTTTTCCTATATTTTCCTGGGAATCGAGGACCAATCGTGCCCGCGGTTTTTCTCTCCTGAAGAAAAAAACACGACTGATCTAATCTTCGGTGTCTGGGCCTACTTGCTCGGCCCTTCGACCGAGAAATGAGGACGCGGGGTGAGAGAACTCCAGGGAAGGGGTCGAGAACCCTCCCTGGAGGACCACGCCGTAAAAGAAGTCGCTACACCAGAGGTCTAGCGGGGGGGGGTGATGTGGGATCGAGGGTCGAGTGTCCTGGACAATCTAAGCTCCTGATGGTGAGGATCCCCGTCGCCACGACCGAATTCGCCTAGAAATTAACGCGTCCCAAAACTGGTCTGGCTGGGTGGAGGAGGGAACATCATACCGTCGGCCTTGATTGGAGAGGGCACGCGAGAGGACACAAGTCCCTTCCGAAGGCCACATCGCCATAGGAGTGCAAGAAGGCACGTGTCGCGAGGCGCAGGACACAATGGTACCCTTGAGCTGGCAGGGGCAACCGACTAATCCGGGCCGACTGTACTGTGACGCCTATCGATGGGGTGCATCTCGAGATGGACCATCTGGCTTTGAACCTCGGGCGGAAGGGGTATGGCGAGCACCCCGTGTATCCGAATCATGGAATGCAAACAAAAACCTTCGAAGGATTTCAAAAACACCCTTCGTTTTTTGTTTGCAGCCCTTCGGTTTTTGTTTGCAATCCTTGTTTTTGTTTTGCAAGCCTTCGTTCGAGGAGGGAGAAGGGGGGCGAGGAGGGAGGCGGGAGAAGGGGAGGGCGGAGCGCGGAGGAGGAGTGGGAGGGAAGGGGGGGGGGGCGAGGAGAGAGGAAGGGGAACTGGGACACACAAATAAGTACACACAAATCAAACTATTCCCCATAGTTTCCCCTATTTTCTCGGTTTTGGCCTTTCCCTCCTCCTCCCTCCTCCTCCCCCTCCTCCTCCCTCCCCCTCCTCCTCCCTCCTCCTCCCCATAGTTTCCCATATTTTCCGGGGAGTCGACGATTCATTGTGTCTGTGTGTTTCCTTCCCTCCTGAAGAGAGGAGGCCGACGAGGACAACTGCTGAAAGAGGATGGGGGCGCAGGGGCGCCAAGCAAGGAGGCAACGCAACGAGACCAGCACGCCCCCGATCCGCGCGCCTCGGCCGCGGGCCGGCGCGACCGCATGCAGGGAAGAGCCGCCGACAGGGATAGAGGCAGATGCGTGAAGGAAACTGGCGGTGGAATAACTTGAATGCAGCACGCTCCTCCTGCCTCTCCCCCTCCCCCTTCTCCTCCTCCTCCCCCTCCCCCTCCTCTTCCTCCTCTTCCTCCTCTTCCTCCTCTTCCTCCTCTTCCTCCTCTTCCTCCTCTTCCTTCTTCTCCTCCTCCTCCATCCCACCGGCCCAAGGATGCGATGATGACATCGCCCCCCCCCGTTTCTGGGCGCCACGGTGGGGCCCTGCATTCCCCTCTGCAGCCCAGCTCTCCCCTGCTCCCTTCCCCCCTTCCAAGGTAGACTGAACTGAAGGGGCCCAGGGACACACAAATCAACACACACCAATCCCCGGACTCCCCATATTTTCCTGCATGTTCCTGGGTTTTCGTCTTCCCCCCCACTTCCCATATTGTCCCGTATTTTCCTGGGAGTCGACGATTAGTTGTGTGTGTTTGTGTGTTATTCCCCCTCCTGAAAGGTAAACTGAACTTAGGAGGGGAGGAGGCGGAAGGACGAGAGGGAGAAAACAGACAGGTTGAAAAAGAGTGCGGCTCAAGTGCGTTCCACGACCACTTTGTGCGACGTTAGGTCGTCGAACATGTTATTGGCGCCGCCAGGGATCTCGATCTGGAGGCCTTCCAACTCGGGAGCGAGCTTCAGCTGGCACCCCAACCGGGAGCTGTCCCGCGGCTCGTGGGCCAACTCGAGCATGTCCACTTCCGCATCCCCCGGCTCCCCGACCTTGGCGGACCACCGCGGGTGCACGTAGACCTGACAAGTAGAACAAGCCATGACCCCACTGCAAGCACACTCGAGAAACTCGGCGAGGACCCTGGCTCCGTCGCCGTCTCCATATTCGGCCACATCCTTCAGCGACATCCCTGCCAGGCCCTCGCAGGCTATGGGATCGCCCCCGCCAGGCGGCACGAACGTAAAGTGGATCACTTCCCGCCCGCGCTGTCGCGCGAGCTCCAACTCCACGCTCTTGGCCAGCGGGTCCAGCCCCGCGTCCTCTCCGATCTCGGGCCGCCCGCCCATCATCTTGACCATGTCCAAGAGGCCGCCCGGCGATACGCCAGAGCCTGGCGCGCTGAGCGCGGCCACGACGCCTTCCGCCACCTCGGGCGTGTAGCCACGCTCCACGATAAAGGCCCTCGCAGCCAGGCGGTCCTGCTCGCGGCGGGTCAGCTGCGGCGCCGAGGCGGCACCGCCAGAGTGCCACCGGCTGCCCCGTGCGCGCTGCGAGGGCGCTGACGGCGGCACCAGCGGGCGCTGCTCGAGCGAGGGCCTGATGGGCAGCGTCAGGGGGAGGGCCGGCTCAGGAGGGGAAGCATCGGCCTGCAGTCGGCGAGGCATCGCCGACAGGCCAGCCACAGGACCCCGAGGGCGAAACCGCGTGCTCCTGGGCGGGAAGGGGCCGTCGGGCCTCCTCCATCGGCGATCCAGACGCGATAGTCGCCCCCTGATCGCCCGCGCGGAAGAACAGGAAACCCTGGAAATTCAAAAAACTATCAATATGAAGGGGCCCCAGGGACACACAAATAAATAAACACAAACCAAACTATTCCCAATATGTTTCTAATTTTCTGGGTTTCTGTCTTCCCCCCCCACTGCCCAAATTTTCCCATATTTTCCTGGGGAATCGACGATTCATTGTGTCTGTGTGTGTATTTTTCCCTCCTGAATCAAGGGGCGATAGTCGTCCCTTGATCGCCCGCGCGGAAGCACAGGAGAACCTGGAAACTCTGAAGACTATCAATATCAATACTTCATGCTCCTCTGACGATTGGGGTCCCTGCGCTCCCCAACCAGCCATAACTGGGGGAGCTGTGGTCCCTACCCCCCTGGGGGAACCCATCGCACGATCTCTCGAGAGGGGTGTCGAAATCGATGGATCCCCCAGGGAGGTACTCCAAATTTTGTAATAAAGGGAGGGGGGTCTCATTTCGGGGGGGTCTCTTCCAGGCTATCCTGGAGGGCCTGGGGGGGTCTGGGGACGATGCTTTGGAGGGTTCTCCCACGGGGGGAGGTCTGAAATGGCTTGTCTTGGAGGGTCCAGACCCCCTCCCTTTTATGACGAAATCTGGAGTAAGGACCACAGCTCCCCCAGTAATGTGAAGGGGCCCTGGGACACACAAATTCGCCGGCCCAACGGGCCAGGGCGTGCTAAGATCTCCGGCAACTGGTTAACAGTATTAACAGTATTTCTAGTTCGCGCGCGCGGGGCGGCCCCTGGGGGTCCCCCGGCGAAAAGTACCCCGACCAACGCCCGACCGCCGCCCGACCAAGTCTACTCAGAGATGGTTTTCCTTCTGGGTGCGGCCTCTCAGGCTCCCCAGAGCGCGCTCAGAGTGCCCCAAGAGGCCCCCAAGACTGCCCAAGAGGCCCCCGAGACGCCCAAAGAGCGCTCGAAGACGCCGAAGATGACCCCAAGACGGCCCAAAAGGCCCCCAAGACAGCCCAAGAGGCCTCCAAGACGCCCCAAGAGCCTTCCAAGAGGCCTCCGAAGAGAGCCCCAAGAGGCCAAAATCGTTGATTTTCATTGTTTTTTCTATGTTTTTTGTGTTCTGGCTTTTTCGGCTTCCGGACGCTCCAAGACGGCCCAAGAGGCCCCCAAGACCGCTCCAAGACGGCCCACGAAGCTCCCAAGACGGCGCCGAAACGACCCAAGAGAGCCCTCAAGACGGCCCAAGTGCCGCCCAAGACGGACCAAGAGGCCCCAAGACGGGCCCAAGAGGGACTCAGGAGGGATACCGAGAACTCAAAAATGGAGCCCTCCGTCCCAGAAGGCGCCCAGGAGGTCCCAAAGAGGCCCCAAGAGGCCTCCAAGAGGCCCCAAGATGTCGCCAAGAGGCCCCAGGAGACTCCCAGGAGGCCCAAAAGAAGCCCCAGAAGGCTTCAAACATGTCTCCCAGGCGCCCCCGAACGGCCTCTCAACAGACCCCAAGAGGCCCCCCAAAGAAGCATCTTGACGACGACTCTATTTCGCCCCATCGAGAGACGACCCCCAGGGAACTGCTTCACCATCAAAACTCCCCACGCAACGCGTCCGAACGACACCCGCCCCCAAGAGCGCAACATGGGCAACGAACACACAGACAAAAACCAGCGATGCCATATCACGGGCCGGCGGAATGAGCGAAGCGATTCAATAAATACACACAAATTATCCCGGCAAAGCAACCTAACAGCGATGTGTAGAAGCATATCTGAAAGCATTCCCCTTAAGATTCAGATGAAAATCCAGTTGTCGAATTCTGCTGTTCTCGCAGTCGTAGTCGCATTCGCGATGACAGTCGCAGCGGCAACGGCAGTCGCAGTCACAGCCTCAGCCTCAGCCTGCCTCCTCCTCCTCCTCCTCTTTCTCCTGCTCCTCCTCCTCCTCCTCCTCCTCCTCCTCCTCTTCCTCCTGCTCGTCCTCGTTCTCGTCCTCCTCGTCTTGCTCGTCCTCCTCCTCCTGGTGCTCTCTCCTCCTCCTCCTCCTCCTCCTCCTCCTCCTCCTCCTGGTGGTCCTCGTTCTCCTCCTCCTGGTGCTCTCCCCCCCCCTCCTCCTCCTCGTCCTCCTCCTCCTCCTCCTCGTCCTCCTCCTCCTCTTCCTCCTCCTCCTCCTCCTCCTCCTCCTGGTAGTCCTCCCCCTCCCCTCCTCCTCCTCCTCCTCTTCCTGGTCGTCCTCGTTCTCGTCCTCCTCGTCTTGCTCGTCCTCCTCCTCCTGGTGTTCTCTCCTCCCTCCTCCTCCTCCTCCTCCTCCTCCTCCTCGTCCTCCTCCTCCTGGTACTCTCCCTCTCCTCCTCCTCCTCCTCCTCGTCTCCTCCTCCTCCTCCTCCTCCTCTTCCTCCTCCTCCTCCTCCTCCTCCTCCTCCTCCTGGTACTCCTCCCCCTCCCCTCCTCCTCCTCCTCCTCCTCCTCCTCCTCTCCTGGTCGTCCTCCTCCTCCTGGTCGTCCTCCTCCTCCTGCTCGTCCTCCTCCTCCTCCTGCTCGTCCTTCTTCTCCTGCTCCTCCTGCTCCTCGTCCTGCTCCTGCTCGTCCTCGTCCTCCTGGTCTTGCTCGTCCTCCTCCTCGTCGTGCTCTTGCCCCTGCTGAAAATGTGGCCCAGGAATGGGAGTTCTGGGAAGTCGAAGAGCACGAAGTTGCCTACAGTTGGCTACGGGCATTCAAAATGTGGCCCGGGAATGGAGTTCTGGGAACTCGAAGAGCACGAAGTGGCCTACAGTTGGCTCCGGGCATTCAAAATGTGGCCCGGGAATGGAGTTCTGGGAACTCGAAGAGCACGAAGTGGCCTACAGTTGGCTCCGGGCATTCAAAATGTGGCCCGGGAATGGAGTTCTGGGAACTCGAAGAGCACGAAGTGGCCTACAGTTGGCTCCGGGCATCCAAAATGTGGCCCGGGAATGGAGTTCTGGGAAGTCGAAGAGCACGAAGTGTGTGACTGTTGCATCCGAGAATGTGGCCCGGGAATGGCGTTCTGGGATGTCGAAGAGCACGAAGTGTGTGACTGTTGCATCTGGTTATTCTAAATGTGGCCCGGGAATGGCGTTCTGGGATCTCGAAGAGCACGAAGTGTGTGACTGTTGCATCCGGGTATTCAGAATGTGGCCTGGGAATGGAGTTCTGGGAAGTCGAAGAGCACGAAGTGTGTGACTGTTGGTGAAAAACGAGCCCGGCACCCTGCCGCCCGGCAACTCCCCAACACCTGCCCGGACCCCCCTGTGGAGTGATCTGTGAGCTCTTTTGAGACCACTAGAAACCTATCAGTCTTCGCTGTTAGGTAATAAAAAGATTCCCCATATTTTCCCATATTTTCTGGGTTTTTGCCTTCCCCCCCCACTTCCCATATTTTCCCATATCTTCTGGGGGATCGAGGATTCATTGTGTCTGTGTGTTTTTTTCCCCTCCTGAGTAATGGCTGTCCTGGCTCCCCCCTGAGCCCGTCCCCCCCTTGCCGTTGCCCCCGAGGGCCGCAGCCGCGGGGCCAGGCTAAGGCGCTCCCGGCGGTGCGCCAGCCGCGGCCTCGGCGAGGCGGCGCCGGCCGCGGAGAGGCTGCCGGACAGGGCACGGCGCATGGCGCACGGCGCGGGCGAGCGGAGGCAGCGCACAGCCCGAGCCCCGGCGGCTGCGGAGGCGGAAGGCACGGGCCCCACGCGCCGCCGAGGTCCCTGGGCGGGGCCCGCCCGACTACGGCCCCCCCCTCCTCCTCCTCCCCCTCCTCCCCCTCCTCCCTCCGCCTCCCCCCCTCCTCCCTCTCCTCCTCCTCCTCCTCCTCCTCCTCCTCCTCCTCCTCCTCCTCCTGGTGCTCTGGTGGCTCCGGGTGGCCGAAAGCCTAGAAAAACACACAGGGACAGGAAGGTCCCGGGCCCCCCATACCCCGCCGAGGTCCCTGGGCGGGACCGCCCCCGGCCACGTCCCCTGGGGTTCTGGTGGCTCCGGGTGGCCGAAACCCTTGAAAAGCATAAAGAAAGAGTAAGGGGCGGGAGGAGCTGCCAGTGCAGGCTGGAAGGGCCGAAGCAGCGATGAGAGGAAGCGGGTCTGACCCGTCGGCCGGAAGATGTGGGCAGAAACATGGAGCAGGAAGGCGTTGGAAGTAGCTTGAGTCTCCGCCCGCCCCCTGAGGAGGAGCGACGAGGGAGAACCGCTCAACCACTGAAGTAGGAAGGCGCCCAGAGTGGATTGGGATCTGGACATCCAGAAAAGCCCACGTGCAACGACTAGAGAGTACGCCAGAGGGCACAGCGACCTCACGGCGCAGCTGACGCGGGCCGCCAGCGCAGCACCCCGCGTGGAGAAAGGGGGCGCTTGCACGCGCGACCTTACGAGGGAAACTTGAGCTCTAGCGTCCGCGCAGTCGACGCCGTTTTATTCCGTCGCTTTGTCATTTCTCTTCCACAGGATTCTCATGTCTGATCCGTCACAGGCAGAGCTCGACTGACGCGACAGGCGGAGGGGAAATGGCGAACGCTCGGGGTGGCGCTCTGCGTCGGCACAAACTTCCCTGAGTTGCAGGGGACGATGAAAGGCGCGAAATCGGGGCAGGTCCGATCCCTCGAGTGGGAAACCTCGACACTTCGCGAGCTATTTGACGAATCGCAAACGGGCAGAATCGTGCGAACATGCCCCCATGTTTACAGAGAGAGCGAGAAATTCAAGAGTACCGAGGGCTCCCGAGATGGGAAATTCCAGAGTACCGAGGACGTTGCATGATTGCAGTGATGGTGTTATTGCTGCCCGCTCTACTCTTGAGCTCTGCTCTTCCCCTCCTCCTGAACCCAGCCAGCCAATATCCAGTGAGGGCTGACAAGCTTTTGTTTGGGGCCCAACGCGCTGGCAAAACCTAAACTTGTCGTTCCCGTCCCCAGGCAGGCCTCAGTCACGCGCCCCCCGAAGCGAAGGTGAGATCCGCGCCGATCCGAAGGGCCGGCGACAAGAACCTCGATGGGACCTTGTGCCAGCGAGGAACAGCTGGACCGGAACTGGTCGCTGCGCGTCCACGCCGTGGTTGGAGCCTGTTTTTTTATAGACTCTGGCAAGTTTACTTGCATGGACGGGGGGGGGGGGGCTGAGCCCGAAGAAAGCCGCAGACGACTTGCACGTTCGGGGGGGCGCGGCAATCACGCAAGCCGAAAGGCACTTGCACGCTAGTATTCGCTTGAAGAGGGGCGAGGAGGGGGGGGGTGGGCGAACGCCATGCAAGTAAACTTGCCGGAATTAAAAAAATTCAAGCTCTTGGCTGCTTGTTCCAGATGAAGGGGCCCTGGGACACACAAAAAAATACACACAAATAAAACTATTCCCCATATTTTCCCATATTTTCTAGGTTTTTGTCTTCCCCCACTTCCCATATTTTCCCATATTTTCTGGGGAACCGACGATTAATTGTGTCTGTGTGTTTTTTCTCCTCCTGAGAGACCTCTCAGCAGGCAGCCTCCTCGGAAGGCCGGAAGGCCTCTGAGAAGCCCCGCGGCCTTCTGAGACTACCTACCCCAGATTTCGTGATAAGAGGGAGGGGGCCACTTCAGACCCTACGGCCTGGACCCTCCAAGACAAGCCGTTTCAGACCCCCCCCCCCGTGGGAGAACCCTCCAAAACGTCGTCCCCAGACCCCCCCAGGCCCTCCAAGATAGCCTGGAAGAGACCCCCCCCCGAAATGAGACCCCCCTCCCTTTATTACGAAATCTGGAGTACCAGACCACCCCAACCCAACCCGAAGACCCGAGTTTCGTGTTGGGGGGGGGTAATCCCACCAGCCCTTTGGGCGTGAGTGGTTTAGAGAGCTCTCTCTGTTCTCAACCCCCCTTCTTCCCCTTCGGGGAGGGGTTTACCCCTCCCCCTCCCCCCTCCCCCTGGGCCTGGAGAGGTCCCTCCGCGGGTGGCCGGAGGGGTCTTTTTCGACTCCTGGGAGGGCTAAAAAACGACACCCCTCACGAGGATTCTGGCCCCGACGGGGGGGGGGAGAAAAGTGCTCCCCTCTTCTTCGAAGCCAAAATCATTGATTTTACAATGGTTTTGGGCCCATTTTGGCCTTCTGAGGGGGCAGCGCTAGTTAAAGCTCCCCTCTTCCTTCAAGCCAGAATCATTGATTTTACTAAGGTGTTGGCCCCATTTTGGCCTTCTGAGGGGGCAGCGCTAATTAAAGCTCCCCTCTTCTTTGATCGATTTCCTCCAAGATGGCCCCAAGAAGCGCCCAGGAGGCACCAAGAGGCCCCAAGATGGCCCCAAGAGGCCCCCAGGAGGCCCCCAAGAGGATCCCAAACGGCCCAAAGAGGCCCCCCCGAGGCACCCAAGACGCCGAAAAGCCCATCAGGACGACCCTCTACTCGCCTGGGCGTCGTTTCTGGACGGGCAGGAGGAGGGGCCCGAACGACTCACACCAGGACGAGGGGCCCGAACAACTCACACCACGAGAAGCCCGAACGACTCACACCAGGACGAAGAGCCCGAACGACTCACACCACGAAGAGCCCGAACGACTCACACCAGGAAGAAGGGCCCGAACGACTCACACCAGGACGAGAAGCCCGAACGACTCAAACCACGAGGAGCGCTTTCTCTCCCTCCTCCTCCGCCTCGTCCTTCTCCCGCTCCCACCACAAGGAGGATGCACAAGGAGGCGGGAGGAAGGAGGAACAAGGGAGATATGCGGGGGCAGGCGGAAACACGCCTGAAAAACACGACTGTCGGCATGCTTCGCTACAGTTGCTGTTTTGAGATGGGCTGGTGGGGATACGCGAAGCGTGAAGAATTAAGGGTTCCACATGTGATTTGTTCGATGCTTCCCGACCCCCTTCCCACTGGAAAGCGAGGGTAAATTTGAGCCTTCGGGTTGGGTTGGGGTGGTTTGGTGGGTGGTGATTCCGAGAACGCCTCCTCCTCCTCCTCACGTCCCCCCTCCCTCGCCGCCGAGCAGCGGCCGAAAAGTCGAGCGGCGCCCCTCCGTACAGGGCGCGCCGTGGCCCGAGCGCTCGGCGGCGGGCAGGAGCTGCAGCCCCTTCCGACCCGAGTGAGCCTCACCTTTTGGCTGCCGGGCCCCAAACTCGGGTCTCCAGCGGCCTGTCGGGACGATCGGGGACACGTTGGGACGCTCTGGGCTGGGCGGAGCGCAGCTGTCGGACTGGAGAGCCGCTTGAACACCATCGATTTGGACACCCGAAATGGGCACCGAAAGAATGGGCAACATGCCCAGCAACAAATGTTGTCCCGAACCAACAGCGGCCGCTGTTGGGCGGGCGGCCTCCTGTCTCGAATGGACACAGGCCGCGGCGGCGCGGACAGCGAGTCCTGTTCAAAATGAACAGGAACTGCTGTTGGGCGTCGTACCCATTCTTTCGGTACCCATGTCGGGCGTCCAGAATCGACGGTCGCCTCGAGCCTGGAGTCTCGGCTGCAGGGCCGGTGACAAAACTGCAGCCTGTCCGCCACCCAGGTAATTGTCTGGCTCGTCTTACGTCGTGCCCGCCCTCCTGCAGGGGGAAATTCGACGGAAAATTAGAAGGAACAGAAAGTTGCCCTAAAATGGCAAACGAATGCTCAGACAGTCGTCCCGGCACTATTTTGGACGATTTTACAATGCAGTAGGAGCTCGACCACAAAAAAACTGCCAATAATAAACCCCCGAGACCCCAAGACGTCCAATGTTTTTCGCGTGGGAGCGTCACGGCTTCAGTTAACAAAACTATCAAAACCCAGGACACCCAAGGCACCCTGGAGGCAAGCAGGGTGTTTGTCGGCACGGGTTTCCACTGTATTCCTCCTGTAGAAGGACAGGCCCGACTTAAGACTCGTCGGGGCGCACGACGCAAAGAGCCCCAGGCTGGCAGCGGAAACCCAGGAGCCCACAAACAGTTTCCATTTCTTTGGAGGTCGCTTCTTGCTTCCGCCGCATTCCGCTGGCCTTCCGCCGCCTTCCGCCGAGGAAGATTTTCAAATAGGAGAAGCAGCGCAAACGTAAACTTTTGGCGTTCCGCGCGGAATTCTTGGATTCGCGCTGGACTCCCCTCCCTGGCGCGCGGGGCGCACCGGGGGCGGTGCCGGAAAACGCCGCCCGGGGGCTCGCTCGCTCGCTCGCTCGCAGGTCACGCGCCGAAAAGCGCGTGGACAGATCTGGCACGCGCAATACTGGGCAGCGCCCCTCGCCCAAGCATTGCAATCCTGAGCGCTTGCCGGCGCCTTAACACCGCGTTTTCGCACTTGCCTGGTCCATTCGTTTCTAGAGCGCCCTGCGCGTCCAACATTCCCAGGGCAAAATGTTTGACAGTTCAGCACGTCGCTTTCGGGGGGCTCTCACCACCTTCCAGTGAACAAGCAACTGCTGACGTAGTTTCTGTGACATCGGCTGCCTGCCAGCCCTGGCCAGAACCACCTCATTGGACACACGTGATATGAAGGAAAGATGGATGCGCTGGATTACCCTCAGACATCTGCAGTGGAAGCCATTCAGCTTACGGGTCTGAGCAACGATGAGCCATGAATAATTAGGCCCGTGGAGCAGCAAGCTGACGATGATGGTCTCGAACACCTCGAGCTTCCTTGCGGTCGTCAGCTGCGCGTGCTTCCGAAACCAGTTCAAGTGGCAGAAGTCGCCCCAAGCCCTGCCGATTCTGCGGTGGAGGTCCCCATTGGCG